TCAATAACCAAAAGGCCCAGGGTACTGAAATTAGGCCTGTAGCATGCTGGGATGAAGGACTACCAAGTTTAATCAAATGAATGACCTTGATCCACTTTCAACCTGATGTCCTTGTTCGACATTCAAGGTCACAGGCGTCATATGTTTAAATCTTTTAATAGGTTCTTATGAATCAAACACTGATATTCTGCCTGTAGCTGTATTTTAGTCCACTTTTAAGATTACAAGTGTGAGATTAATACCAGGTGAGCGATGCAGGCCCATTGGGCCTCTTGTTTGTAAAAAACATGCAATTTTTAAATTGATACTAATATTGTTTAAGGTCAGTATGTTGAGTTACGAGGATGGCGAGCTGGACCAGAGCACTGTGATACCACTGATTGATGGGGGAACGGAGGGGTTCAGGGGTAATGCCAGGGTCATATTGCCTGGCATGACAGCTTGTGTGGATTGTACTCTAGACTTGTACCCACCACAGGTAGATGCATTTTGTCTATTATTATAAAGCAGTATGTTATCTCATTTTCTTGCCAAGGTTTTCCCCTTGGAGAATTTTAATTTCCAAAGATCTTCAGAAAAACAGGCGACCAACCAGTGACCCAGATTTGAGTCTTGACATTTAAAGACGTCTTCCTACATTTCAAAAACAAACACTGAGTAATCTGGAAACCTGTGTATTATAATCCAGATTCCAACCAATTGGTCGCAGTGTCATTCCATTTTACACAGGTTTCTCTGTCATATTCCTGAAATGATTTAATGACATATGTACCAAGAAAAGTCTTGGTGATGATTGGCTTTTCTTTATATTACAGGTGAATTTCCCCCTCTGTACCATTGCACATACTCCAAGATTACCCGAACACTGTATAGAATATGTCAGGATTCTTCTTTGGCCAAAAGAGGAACCATTTGGAGGTATACAATATTGCCTTTTTGTAAAAGCTCAAAGTCATGTTTTGGTGCCATACGTTTATTTGTCCTATCGAAGTGTATTTTGTTTGACATTGGTGTTGTACATTTGAAAATGTTGAACATGTCTAGAAGAAACTTTAAGTATAACTTTCTCATCCACAGAATGTACAGTAAGCTGTAATTAGGTCACAGTGACATTTACTTCTAGCTAGTTCAAAGGCCACTTTATTTACGTCACTGTGACCTTCACCTTGAGATTAAAAGATGATATACATATTGACCTATCAGATACACACAGATACACATATTTATTCTGACTGTAGGAAATTGTACAATTTCCTCTGCTGTCAGCTCAATTATAAAAATCAGGAGAGACAAATACTTTTTGTTGAAAAAACAAATCTTAAATTTATGTTACGACTTAAACTGAAAGTCTATTGTCTAAATAGCATAATTTAGACAATACTTTTTTACAGGTACACCACAAAATAAGTTATCAGTATTGACGATGTTTATCTATTTTTGCATACCAAATCTTATATATTTCTTGCAAAAGATTTTCTCAGATCCTTTTGCCACATTAAGGTGAAACACAAAACAAATAGATAAAAGATGTATATCAAATATTTTATGAGTAATCCAAATATATGTTTTATGGTGAGCTTTTGCCGTACTGCAGTGTCTGTCTGTCCATCAACTTTTCCTTTAAAACGCTGCAAGTCCTGAACAGCTTTATGAATATTGACTTAATATGGCCTGGAGCATCCTTGGGCAAAGGGAACTAATTTTTGTATAAACGGAGGGTGTGGCCCCTCTGGGTGCAGAGGGGCAGGACCCATTAGGGGAAGTTGAGGTTTAAACCTTTAAAATTCCTCTTTTGTACTATTAGAGGGATTTTTCCAAATTTGGCCTGGAAAATCCTTTGGCAAAGGGGACTATATTTTGTAGAAACAGAGGGTGTGGCCCCTCTGGGTACTGAGAGACGGGGCCCATTAGGGAAATTTTAAGTTTAAATCTTTAAAATCCTTCTTCTTCTGTACCATTGGAAATTCTACAAATTTGACCTGGAGCATCCTTGGGCAAATAGGACTAAATTTTGTATAAACGGAGGGTATGGCCCAATAAGGGAATTTGAGGTAAATCTTTAAAATCCTTACTCTTCTGTGCAATTGGAGGGATTGCAACCAAATTTGGTTCAGAGCATCCTTGGGCAAGGGGGACTAAATTTTGTTGTAAGGGAGAATGTGAGGCAGAGGGGCGAGGCTCAAGAGGAGGAATGTAGTATTAAATGATATAAATCCATCTCCTTCTGTTTGATTGGAGGAATTGGAGGGTAGGGGGTGGGGGTGTTGCTATAGGGTAAATTGAGGTTAATATTTAAAATCCTTCTCCTTCATATAATTGGAGTTATTTATCCAAATTTGGTCCAGAGAGAGCATCATTTGGCAAGGGGTACTTAAATTGTTTAAACAAAGAGAGTGGTCCCTCTGGAAGCAAAGGGGAAGGGTCCAGTAGGACGAATATCATAACAAATATTTAAAGTCCTTCTCCATCAGTTCATTTGGAGGGATTTTAATCATGGACAGGTGTTTCTGAGTTGTTATATACAATAATATAATTTTCCATAGTTGCTTTATTATCAAGGTGAGCAATACAGGCACTCTGGGCCTCTTGTTTATGATAATAATGTTTAATCAGTGATATGTTATGACACTTTAACAAAGATGCTTAAATGTTCATTAGTTAATCTTATTTACCAGCAATATTGCATGTTAAGTGTGTTTCATCATCTTACTACAGATGGGGTGAAGATTGATGGGGATGACCCAACACATATCAAGTGGATCTTAGAGAAAAGTGTAGAGCGGGCAGAAGAGTTTAAAATCACAGGCATAACCTACAGATTAACACAGGGTAAGTCATACACATACAGAGGTGCCCAGGGGGCAGACGGGTTTGACATCACTGGCATAACCTACAGATTAACACAGGGTAAGTCATACACATACAGAGGAGCCCAGAGGGCAGACGAATTTAACATCACAGGCATAACCTACAGATTAACACAGGGTAAGTCATACACATACAGAGGTGCCCAGGGGGCAGACGAATTTAACATCACAGGCATAACCTACAGATTAACACAGGGTAAGTCATACACATACAGAGGTGCCCAGGGGGCAGACGAATTTAACATCACAGGCATAACCTTCAGATTAATACATGTAAAAGGTTAGTCACCAGAGGGAGGACAAGTTCAACATCACAGGCATAACCTACAGATTAATACAAGGTAAGCCACCAGAGGGTGGACGAGTTCAAAATCACAGGCATAACCTACAGATTAATACAAGGTTAGTCACCAGAGGGCGGATGAGTTTAAAATCACTGGCATAACCTACAGATTAATACAAGGTAAGTCACCAGAGGGAGGACAAGTTCAACATCACAGGCATAACCTACAGATTAATACAAGGTAAGCCACAAGAGGGCGGACGAGTTCAAAATCACAGGCATAACCTACAGATTAATACAAGGTTAGTCACCAGAGGGCAGAGAAGTTTTAAGTCACAGGTGTAACCTACAGGTTAACACATGGTTAATCATACACATACAGAGGAGCCCAGAGGTTTGAGCTTTTTAAAGGCTTACCTTTTTTGAAGCAAATAATTCTTTTTCTGTCAACTCTCTGTCATATGTTTGTAAACACTTGATATCTATTTTTTCATCCTGATTGGCACATCTGTCGTAAGCTGATTGTGATGTCATATCTGTTGTTCTCATGAGGTCATTGTATTGTTTCTTTCCACATGCTAGGGGTCGAAAGAGAAAAGTCAACTGGTAAAATTATCTCAATGGTGGGAGAAAAATGGTCCACTAGCCTGACCTATGTAATTATAGACAGGTGACCGTTAAGACAAGTTTGACTGTAAACATTCATAGAATAAGCTAATCAATGTTATTTTATTTTCAATCAGGTGTTGTAAAAAGAATTATTCCAGCTGTAGCATCAACAAATGCACTTATTGCAGGTAAGATGAAGGTATAACGTAAGGAGTAAAATGTCTCACATAATCGAAAACTCTTCGAAAGTGACAGTATTTAAGATTACCAAACAGAAAACAGCTATTAAAACATCTTGGTCAGTAATGAAAAAAAGGAAATATCAAAAAATTTCAAAAGTATACATTTTAAGAACATCATTTAGTTTCTTATAAAATCTGCATATCAGTGGTTCTCATATATCCTCAAAAGATCAACTTAGCCACAGTTGAACAATTTAATGTTACAAACACATGATAAAAAATGTTCCAGGTGTCTAGCTTATGCATATTTAAGTCTCAAGTTACCGGTACATGCTGAAAGATGTTTTAAAATTTCCATATTAATTTATTCTTTTTATCAGCTGCCTGTGCAACAGAGGTATTCAAAATAGCCACAAGGTAAGCTTTAATGTTGATTGAAATGGTAGACTTGTTTTACACAAATTATTTAGTGTTTATTGATGTATGTGATTCTCAAAGGAGGCTAATGTATGTGAATTTTATGATATGATCATACACTACAGATCAATAGACTTAAATCAGTTTTAGTGTTATAAAGAGATGTTTTTCATGTCAGACTAAGTGATTCCTTACTCCATCTAATGTTAGATTTAATTTCAGGAAAAGGTATCCATGTGAATATATGATTACATCTGAGTAAAGCAGAACATTCAATCCATGTCCTTTTTCATTGATTTCTAACTCCTTTTCTGAAAGTGTTTTATTTGATACTTCTATAAAGTTGAAATTTGTCGAAATCCAACATCCAAGTCAATATTCTAGAGATGGGGACCACTCTAGTTACACAGCCTGAGGTCCTAACCTCTCTGGTCCTTACCTTACAAGTTCTAATCTCATGGGTCTGAAACTTTCCAGTCCCTACCTTAAGGTTCTAACTTCTTTAGACCTAACTTTCTACAGGTGCTTATCTCTTTGGTCTTAACTTCTTGGGTACCTCTCTAATCCTTACCTCTCAGTCCTAGACTTTGAAGGTACTAACCTCTCTGGTCCTAAATTTTTACCTGTTGTTATCTCACAAGGTCCTAACCACTCAGGTCCTAAGTTATGTATCAGGTCCTCATCTGGGGGTCCTAACCTCTCAGGTCCCTTCCTCTCCAAGCCTAACCTCTCGGGTCCTAACTTCACCTGTTGTCATCTCACAAGTCCTAACCACTCGGGTATTTCTCAGGCTTAGCCTCTTGGGTCCCTACTTTTGTGGTCCTAACCTCTCAGGCATTTAGGTATCTGCCCCTCCGATACATCCCCAGTCCTAGGCTAACCTATAAGGCCCCTACCTCTACAGGCCTAACTTCTCTGGTCCTAACCTCTTTCAGGTCCTCACCTTTAGAGTCGTAATATATTTAGGTCATAACACCGCAAGTTGTAACAGGTGGTACTTCAGAATATTTTTCACTCACACATTCTGTATTCTTGTATTCCTGCTGAAAGTTTTGGTTTTGTTCCAGTTGTTGCTTACCACTCAGTAACTACATGAACTTCAGTGATACCGATGGGATCTATACTTACACCTTTGAGGCGATGCGTAAGGTTTGTATGTCTTGTCTCCTTGTATAAATGTTCCTATGCACACTCCCCCAGTATACTGATATGAGGGGGCCGCGGTGGCCAAGTGGTTAAGGCGTCTGTCATTCTGCTACCACTAGCCCTCCACCACTGAGTCGCAGGTTCGAGACCTACGTGGGACAGTCGCCAGTACTGGCGGTATACGTACGTCGTTGTTTTATTCTCCGGGAACTTTCCTCCACCACCAAAACCTGGCACTTCCTAAAATGACCATAGCTGTTAATAGGACGTTAAACACAAGCAAACCAAACACTCCCCAAAGATAAATTATTTGCATCCTTTTAAATGGTTAATATTTGTGAATATTTATCAACCTTCAATGTTAGATATCCATCTTGCAATGCATACATTCTGTCATCCCACTGAAATAGAAACTAAACTAATATTTGCCATACTTCAGAACCATAAAAAAAACTTGATCATTCCATATACCAGGTAACTACATCTGAAAGACAAGCAAACACTTTTATGGAGTGCAAAGTTAGTTATCATTTATTTGTTTTTGACCAAAAGAAACCACCAAAACAACAAAATATAAAAAAAAAATCTATTGTGTGTGTTAACCAAAAAGTTGTAAAATGCTTGTAATGGGTGAAAACAGATCATAGATTTTTTTGGGAAAAGTTATTGTTTCCCAGTTCTCAAAATGGTACAGTAGCCAAGTCTGTATCATTTTCCATTTAACATGGCCTCATCATATAAGTATACTGAACATTAGAGTATATCTAAATCTTACTCTGCAACAAAAAAAATACCAATTTCGTATGAATCAAAATTATATTCTTATTATTTTATAAAGAATTACATAACAAATATGCATATATATACATATATATACATATATATACATATATTACATATATATATACATATGCAAATACATGTGTTTAAAGGAATTGTTAAATGTTTTATAGCAAAGAAAAAAAATCTTGTTTGTAACATTCTGGGTTCAATAGATACTAGGTGAAAATCAATGACACTTTCTTAAAATGACAAATTTAATGTTACATACAGATTTGTACATTCCCATTTTATCATAAGAAAACACTAACAATGCAATTCATTATATAAATAAAATAAAACTGGTAATGTCAAACGCAGGTTTTTGTAGCATTTTTTTGATACTGTCATTTTAAAATATTAACTATTACATCACTATCAAATTTAAAATAATTTTATAGCAAAAATACATACATTCACATGTGGAGATATAAGTTAGAATACAGCGGTATAATAAAAATGTTTACCTTCATATATAGACGATGTTCCTCGTATATGAGTTCGAGGGTTAGGGACAGAATAAATTGTAACTTGTAATTTCTCATGTCATTAAGGTAACTTGTGTATTTATTGCAGGAAGACTGTATGGCCTGTAGCAGTATACCACAGACCCTGAATTTCTCTGAGACTGACAAACTGCAAGATATTCTCACATACCTCATTGAAAGTCAAGAATAGTAAGTTTCCATGGTTATTTGCTTGGAATATCAACTCTCATTGTAAAATAATATGTTAATGCTCGTTTTACAGAGTGGTTGTGTAATTTTATAGAATTTTTCAGGAGTGGTTGGATGTCTATTACTCAATAAGGAAATAAAATGTCTTCTTGTTCAATGCGCACATGGGTAATTCAATTATTACTGCAGGAAGCAATACAAATTTTACTTCAGTAGAATTGTACCATTTATTAGGGCCGATACGGGTGCCCTATAGTAATCACTCTGTCTGTCTGTCTGTCTGTCCACCAATTTTGTTCCTGGCTGATAACTTTGGCATCTATGGACCGATGTACATAAAACTTGGTCAAGATGTTCAGTTCACAAAAATACACATTGAGGTAAAATTCAAGGTCAAAGGTCAAGGTCATTAGGTTCAAAGGTCAAGGTCAACATTTTGTTATGACATGATGAAGCAAAGTTGATCAGAATTAAACAAGGGGTCGATTGACCAAAGGTCAAGGTCATTGGGTTAAAGGTCAAGGTTAAATTTTGTATCTTTTCACTGGTGAACATTTCGCTATGACACTTTGAAGCAATGTTGCTCAGAATTGAACAAGGAGTCAATTGACCAAAGGTCAAGGTCACTGGATCAAAGGTGAAGGTTAAATTTTGTACCTTTTCCCTGATGAACATTTTATTATGACATTATGAAGCAATGTTGTTCAGAACTTAACACAGAGTCAACTGACCTTAGGTCCAGGTCACGGGGTACAAAGAGTCAAGGTCAAGTTTTGTATTTTTCACTGATGAACATTTTGTTATGATATTAAGAAGTAAAGTTGGTCTGAATTAAAGAATTAGTCAACTGACCAAAGATCAGGGTCACTGGATTAATGGTCAAGGTCATTTGGGTCCAAAGGTCAAAGACAGAGTGGATCTCTGACTTTGACCCTGGCTCTTGATGGAGGAGGTATATAAGGTGAAATAAAACAAATCAAAGCTAACCAGTGAGTGTTGCAGTGGTATTTACATTTCTGTTAGCCCAGCAAATATGGAGGTGGAAGGAAACTAGACTCACATCATAGTACATGTAAAATGTATATTTTGCTTCCTTGCAATTCTTTTTGAAGTCCAAATGTCAAACGTCAAGCTCAGCTATATGGGCAGATCGCTTCTTGTTGATTATGGGGGATATATTGCCACAAGACGAAGCCCTTACTGACCTGTCAGTGTTCTAGTTTTTCAACATTTTAATTTTATTTGAGATAAGCATTACCTATGAGCAAATCCCTTATTTCTTGTTCTAATATCAATTATAATTTGCTTGTGTTTTTTCTTTAATTCATAGTAACTGTTGCATTCTTTTTATTTATGTGCAGTCAAATGAAATCTCCAGGAATGACAACGTCTATGAACGGAATGAATAAGACATTGTATATGCAAACTGTGAAATCTATAGAGGAACGAACGAAGCCAAACCTAAAACTAACTCTTAAAGGTATGTACACTGTACAAATAGATGGATTGTCTCCCTTGGCTTGTGTTATTGTACAGAACTTGCTGATTTAAAAAAAAAAGGCTTTCTAGTAGTACTATAGTGATTTGCTTTATATTTGGTTGTAAGCATAAATATTTTTGTAACCAACACAAATATCTTTTGTTGTTTTACATTTATAACTTTAAATAATGACATTGCAGCAAACTACATATCTATTCATACTAATACCGCACTGTGGATTGATGTTGCAGATCTAGGACTGGTTGATGGACAGGAGCTTTATGTAGCAGATCCTACCACACCCATGACAGTGACTTTTAAACTACAGCTTGGCTCAAACATGGAATGATGAAGCCCAACTTTTTTTCAATATTCCAAGTGATGATATAACTTATTACAGATGCTGTCGAGTGTTCAAAAAGAGTGCTCATTGCTCATGTCTTTGGGGAGAAACTGGAAACAGTCTCTTATTACATTCATAGTTATAGTTGATATTTGTATTTCTTAAGATTATTTATGAAGAGGAACAAATGTTATGATTATGCATTGAAATAGACACTATGTGTATCGGCCTGAAAAAACCCCTATGATAAACTGTGTCATCAGGACTAGTGATGTTGAACAAGGGGGGTCTTGTCATCAGGACTGTTGTTTGACAAGTGGACCGTGTCATCAGGGCTTTTGGTGTTAGGACCAGAAGAGGACTGTGTCATCAGGCATCGTGCTGTTGGGCGACACGTCATACAGACTGATGTTGAACAAGGGGGTCTTGTCATCAGGACTGTTGTTTGACAACAAGTGGACCGTGTCATCAGGGCTTTTGGTGTTAGGACCAGAAGAGGACTGTGTCATCAGGCGTCGTGCTGTTGGGCGACACGTCATTCAGACTGATGTTGAACAAGGGGGTGTTGTCATCAGGACTGTTGTTTGACAACAAGTGGACCGTGTCATCAGGGCTTTTGGTGTTAGGACCAGAAGAGGACTGTGTCGTCAGGCGTCGTACTGTTGGGCGACACGTCATACAGACTGATGTTGGACAAGTGGACCATGTCATCAGGACTGTTATTGGACAACAAGTGGACCCTGTCGTAAGGACTTGTGGTGTCAGGACCACAATTGGAGCTGTGCCATCAGATGTCGTGTTGTTGGATGACACAAGACCTGGTCCTATGGACTGATGTTGGACCGTGTCAACAGGGTTTATGGTGTTTGGACCACAAGTGGGCCATATCATCAGATTTCATGTTTGACAGGAGTTGTGTTGTCAAGCGTACAAGTTGAAAAAAGAAACCTACCTACTGTAAATTAATGTTTTCAATAAATCTGCTGTCACAAATTTAAACATCTTTTACTAAAATATTGATTCCTGCAATAAATGTTCCATGGCATGGCAACATTGATACTTTGTATAGAAATCCAGGCAAGTGATTCTCATTAAATGATACAACTATTTTCCCATGTTGGACCAGCTGCCTCTTTGGTCCCAAAAATGTTTCATAGCCAATCTGGTTGAAATTTGTTTATATGGTTATATCACTCTATGACTGTGTTCTCAAGGATGGAGACAGAGTCCAGGGTTATTTCTGGTAGCATGCTTCCGATCTTATGTTTTTCTTGGCCAGTAAGCATATATATACATTGTTATTCATATGATGGGGATATTTACTTTTTTTCCAAGTTATGACACACATGAATGAGGGGCCCTTGGAAATCTTGGTTGCTTGTCTGTATTTTTCCCCTCATGTCAAACACTTGCATAGTTTAATGTTATGACCCAGGGGCAGTGATTTAACCCATTTCAAAGTAATGAACAAGGGACCCCTTTGACCTTCAAAGAAAGTGAAGGTTATATAAATTTATGAGGAAACTTTATGGCACTTCATTCCATGTACCTACTGCTTAAATATCACAGGCCTGTAAACTTCTTTAGGAAAGTGTTAACCAATAATTGCCTGTTGACATTTGACCCCAGCTAGTACTCAAAGTAGACCTTTGACCTAAAGCATGTTATATTAGAAAAAGGTTCACACTGCTGGTCTACATATCAAAGTATCGTGGCTTTCAACCTTTTGATTCTTTGAAACTTTTTAACATGTTTGACCATTGTGACCTTGCAAGTAGGACGAGGTCATTTATAGAGGAAACTGATAGCACTCCATCTCACTCCTACTGGCAAATTGGAGGACCCTTTGTCTTTCAGTTTTCAAAAAGTCGTTCAAAGATAAACAATGACAACAGAGGCGTCACGTATAAATACCATAAGCTCGCCACTGGCACTTAGTGACAGGTGAGCTAAATATAGCATATGGCAGACTAAGCATGGCATTGCTCAAGTCTATGTAAATGTAAATGTGTTTCAATGAGTGTTACACCGTTTCGTTAGTAAGAATAAATAGTATTTTGGTCCTACATTGTTGAATCTAATATTTTCACCTTAATATCTCGGCATACTGGTGAACATTTTTTACAAAGTGGTCCATCGCTTGGACCTTCAGCTTCTTCCTCCAATTAATATAGTAACTTACAAAAGTCTTTGCCCGATATGTATCTCATTCCTTACACAAGTAGTCAAAAGTTTGACCCCATCGTCAATGTGAATCGTCTACAGCCTTCACAACAAATGGCTTTGAGGTTCTATTTCTTTATTCCAAGAGATATTTTCGCCACAGGCCTTTATTCTTATTAATCCCCTACATATTTAAGAGATAAAGAGTTGTCATTGCGATTGCACAAAATTTGTCTCGTCTGGGTATGGATCCTGAAGAAAGGAATGTTTTGATGAAACAAGTATAAATGAATGTCGGTATACAATGTGCAAATACCATTCCAAATGCTATGGTCAGCAGCAAGTGGTTCATTAAGTTAAACCATTATGTTGGTCAATTTCTTTACATTTTCAAAGGAATTAACCATGACTATAGTATAGGTCTCTTATAACTTGAATCCATCAGCTAAAGCAAAAGGCATGATATATCAGTCAAGGTCATTCATTTGAACAAACTTGGTAGCCTCTCATCCCAGCATGTCCCTGGGCCGTACGGTTATTCAGAAGAAGTTGTTGAAAGAATTTATTATATTTGACCCATGTGACCTTAAAAATGGACAAAGGTCATTCATTTGAACCAACTTGGTAGCCCTTCATCCCAGCATGCTACTGGCCAAATATCATCAGCCTGGGCCTCTTGGTTATTCAGAAGAAGTTGTTTTAAAGTAAAAAGTTGATGCAGGACGGACGACGGACGGACCACTGCATAAGTTCACTTGGCCCTTCTGGCCAGGTGAGCTAATGAATGACACAACAAAAGTTAGTTTCCCAGACTTATATTTATTGACAGGATATAACAAGCTTCAATTAAAATGTAGTGTGAGGCCTTGTTGTAGTAAATCTTGGGGCGTGAAGCTTTCCCTGGATTCTGTGTGTCAATGGGAATCGGATCTTCGAGTTCTGTAAAACAAACAATTTTGCCTGAAGTTTCTTTCAAAAAAGTTACAAAATTTGCAATAACTGACTGAACATTTACAAGAAAATAACTTCCTCTATTTATTTGATGGTATTGACATCATGAAATGATTCCATATTCAACATTTAAGATACATTTGTTACATTAAATTCAATATAACAGGCAACAGGAACTTGAACCATGATCTATCTAAAGATTTCAAATTAAGGCTATATTGCACATTCATCTGATCAAAACAGAAATTGATATTCTTTCTTGGAAAATATGTTCTAATCTGGGAAAGGCTTATATTCTTTTACATTGAGCCTTGAATCTTTGTTCTAAATTAGGCTTTTGAATCTTTCAGATTCATGACTAGTAAGCAACACATGTAGTCTTTGAAATTGTTTCTAAACTTACGTGGAACTGTTTGACATTGGACCTGCGTGTCTTGCTAGCCTCCACTTCCTGTACTTTGATGATCTGGATGGTAGAAGATCGAGCCCTGTGCCTGGCTCCCATGTCACGGTCTGCAAAAATAAGAAACTGCTGTAAAGTATGGAGGAAAATGACATATTGACTTTTAACTGGCCAAAAGGTGATCCCCAGTAATACCAGTGTTGGGGGACTGATAAACAGCAGTAGTTGTTTCCATAACGAGACAATAAAGGCGACAGGTTGATTTTGATTTTGCACATTTTCTGCCAACACAAAATTTGTTCTAATTTGGGAAAGGAAATGCATTTCCCTCATATGACTTGTTGCTTCATGCATATTACTGTTCAGACTGAAGTTGCATGAGTAGTAGTTTTAAACACCAACTTCAAATCCTGATATAAAGCAAATACATGTATATGAGCATTATATTTACTAAATGTGAAAGCATAGACATTTTACAACACTGTTTCATCCATGATTCACTTCCTTTGTCATTAAGGGACAAGAAAGGCGACAGGTTGATTTTAATTTTGCACATAATCTGCCAACGTTAGAAATATTTTCTAGCCTGGAAAAGGATGTGCAATTCCTTTGAATGGTATTGTAGCTACATGCATCTGACAGCAAATGTAAATAAGAGATGCACAAAGTATACACTTCAAATTATACAACAAAACATGTTAACCTTTACAAGGCGCTATTAAAGTGCTAGATATCCGTCTCTACCAAAATTCTAGATCTTTTCGTTACGAAAAATAAAGAAGATCTATCCTGCTATGAAGATCATGAAATATGAATACTTTAGCAGCAAATGCCAAAAAAAATACTCTTTGAGAAAAATGCTGACAACCCATGATTTTAAGTTCAAAATATTGACAAATATTTTTTTATCAAAACATTTAAATTTAAAGAAGTCTGTTTCATCCATGATTCACTTCCTTTGTCATTAAGGGACAAGAAAGGCGACAGGTCGATTTTAATTTTGCACATAATCTGCCACTGTTAGAAATATATTCTAGCCTGGAAAAGGATGTGCATTTCCCTCAAATGGTATTGTAGCTACATGCATCTCTTAGATTTAAGATGTACAGAGTGATAGTTTAAACATTTACTTCAAATCCTCATAGGTGAATACCTAATTGAGCATTTTAATGTACAAGAATAGTTGTTTTACAGGATGTTTTTTTCCCCACAACAATTTGTTACCTAATACTGTCAATTTATCCAATGCTCAAAATATATGAAATACATGTATATCCATATTTTACATAAAACCTAACAATACATTGACTAGAATCATTTCCTTTCAGGAAAACCTACTACATTTACACAATTTCTTTTCAGATCAAAATATTAAAATTAAAAGAAGTCTGTTTCATCCATGATTCACTTCCTTTGTCATTAAGGGACAAGAAAGGCGACAGGTCGATTTTAATTTTGCACATAATCTGCCACTGTTAGAAATATATTCTAGCCTGGAAAAGGATGTGCATTTCCCTCAAATGGTATTGAAGCTACATGAATCTGACAGCTTAGATAAATTAAGAAATGTACAGAGTATACACTTCAAACCTTGTAACAAAACACATTTTATGTACAAATGTGTTACCAGGAAGTATGACAAGAAACTCTTTCACACAGTGCCAATGGTTAGCTATCAGTCTCAACCAAATTCTAACTGATGAAAAGAAATCTATTAAGTTTGATGTCATAACAAATAAGGTATATCCTGCTTTGAAAATCATGAAATATGAGTAGTTTGTAGTTGCCAATATCAAAGTATGACCAATATTTCTTTTACCAAAATTAAAAGAAGTCTGTTTCATCCATGATTCACATTCTTTGTCATTAAGGGACAAGAAAGGCGACAGGTTGATTTTAATTTTGCACATCTTCTACCATTGTTAGAAATATATTCTAGCCTGGGAAAGAATGTGCATTTCCCTCAAATGGTATTGTAGCTACATGAATCTGACAGCTTAGATAAATTAAGAGATGTACATTAACAGAGTATACACTTCAAACCTTTTAACAAAACACATTTTATGTACAAATGTGTACCAGGAAGTATGACAAGAAACTCTTTCACACAGTGCCAATGGTTAGCTATCAGTCTCAACCAAATTCTAACTGATGAAAAGAAATCTATTAAGTTTTGATGTCATAACAAAGAAGGTATATCCTGCTTTGAAAATCATGAAATACGAGTAGTTTGTAGTTGCCAATGCCAAAATTATTTCTTTCAGAAAAAACGCTCACGACAACCAATGATTTAAATATCAAAACATTAAAATTCAAAGAAGTCTGTTTCATCCATGATTCACTTCCTTTGCCATTAAGGGACAAGAAAGGCGACAGGTTGATTTTAATTTTGCACATAATCTGCCAACGTTAGAAATATATTCTAGCCTGGAAAAGGATGTGCATTTCCCTCAAATGGTATTGTAGCTACATGAAT